AGCACATGCATGCACACAGCACACCACCCTCTCAGGCCCGTCTTGGGTTTTTGAAACAGGGAAAAGGTGGGATATAGGGAGTCAGAAGTGGGTGTTTTAGAATGTCTCCACATTCATTTCTAGTAGCTTTCACACAACCATGAGGATCTAGCTAAACCACCAAACAGTGGTCCAAATGGGAGCTGACTCAGGTCGGCACTGCACAGGTCACCTGGGAAATTTAATTGCAGATAAATTACCACACTGTGATGTGTGCATCTTTGCACCGGATTCATTTTAATAAAACAAATGCTGAGTGCTTATTCCTAGCTGGAGTTATTGCTCCAAAATCCAGCATGTAACAACCTTAATCTTCAGCATGGTGTGAAAACGGGCTAATCCTTTCTGTTCTTCTCCCCACCCTGAGCAGATTATGCGTTTTGTTTTCCAAATTAAATGCTAGCAGCATTCTGTATTGGAAAGAAAAGTCAAACTGAGAATCAAAGGGCATACATGGGATTCTTTCCCAGTTATTTCGGCCTCTGACCATTTAGTACCTAGGGCAGGTGAGGTGATCCAGTGAGCAGGGGAGCTCAAAGGAAGCACCTAACATTGCATAATACCTCAGTAAATGAGTGCACTTGAAATTAGTGTGCAAAACATGAAGGTTTTCTTGCATTTGAAGGGTAGGTACAAGAAAGATGTTAGAAATGTAGTTAGGTTAATGGGCAGAAGGTATGACAGATAGCATACTGACCACTTACAGTGAAGAACCAATGTGGGTGAGCATTGTGATGTCTGCAGGGCTACCTTGGAATAAAGGTCTTGCCTGCTGGGGGAGGGATGTGACCCCTGAAGAAAACTGACGGTGCTCCTGCAGATTGTCCTACAACCATGCATGTACAGGCAGCGCTAAGTGAATTCAGTGGATTAAAGGGAAAAAAAAAACCACATGGAGTTCACAGGGAATAGTGGGGAGGTGCGGGGATAGATGATAAATTGGAGAGGGACAAAGGGAGGCATATTCGATCAAAATGTATTATATGCATATATGAAGTTCTCAAACAATTTTTTAAAGTTTGCCAAAAAACAGAAACAGCCTAAACATCTAAAATACTAGAATTCATGAAGAAATTATAGTATTTCATTCAGTGAAATATAAATGAAATGAAATGAAAATAAATTATGTAAAGTTGCATACAATAGCCAGAATGCATCATACAACAATGTAGAATGGCAGAAGCCAGACACAGACTCCTACAATGCTTGTTGTGTGATTATATGGTATAAAGTAGGCAGGACTAATCTTGTGTTAGAAGTCAGGAAAGGACTGTTGTGATAGGTAGAGATTAGAAGGAGCCACCAGTTCTGTTTCTGGGCTACTTTTTTTATTCTTTTGCAACTTGGATGGTAGCGTAGATCTATTCACTTGGTAATAACTTGTTGCAGAATACTTAAGGTTGACTCTTTAAGTCTTGAATTGGCTTGTCCATCAAGGATTGTGCTTCTAAGAGCTAAGAAGATCCTCACAATCTCCTAGCTTATTGGGTCCATTTCTCTGGTTAAGGAAACTGAGACCACAGTGACAGAAAAGCAGGATGGAGCAGAGACGATAGGAAGCTCCTAGCATCAGGGGATGGAAGCAAATCCCACACCATGGGAGAGCTGAGGCTTCAGGCTTTTGTAATTGATTATCTCAAGGACTAGATGGGTCAAAACATACAGAGAGAGTCTCAGCAGAAAGGAGGAGGGGCTAGCACCAGGCAGTGATTTGTTGAGAGTTCAGGTCTGTCCTATCTAACACTTGATGGTCATACTGCCTCCTCCCCTAAAGTATGCCTTCCATGATGTGTGGGGGAAAAGGGGGCACTAAGCAAGGCCATGGGCCCCCGACTGGTTTTCCATCTAGTTTCCCAAAAGAATGAGCTGCCAGACCACAGATTGCAACCTCAGCTGTTGGCCTCTGGGGAAGAGGCTGAAAGGGAGATGGTAATAAAGAGGAGCTTTTGGAAAGAGTAGGTCTAAATAGGACCACTGCTGATACAGAAAGCATCCTCAGGGAGAAGAGGGCTAAGGAGTTCGCTTGGCATTTGTGCCACAGCAGGATGGAGCATGGTAGGAGTCTGAATAAGGTAATGGAAAGGGGCATGGAGATGGGCAAGTCTGAGGATTCAGAAGTAAAGAAGCCAAATCAGGCAGTCCTGGACAAAGCAGATGAAAGTTGGGAGCTCACCATAAACCTGCTCATAAATAGAGACTTTACTTTTCAACCACAGTCATACTTAGAGAGTTGGTGATGTGTGGATCCTGAGATGACCGTCCTTGGGCTGAGTGTGCAAGGGTCACTTTTTGCTAACTGGATTCCAAATATTAAAATATTTGCACTACAACATCATGCAAAGTTGTGGACCTTCCTTGGTATCCCAGCCCCAGCTGAAGTGGCTAATAAGGGGGGCCATGCCTGTTTTTGATCAGGATTCGCTTACAGTGGAGAATTGATTCAGAGAGATAAAAACCAAATCTATCCCTGGGCTAGCATCTGCGACCACAAAAACTGGTCTGTGAATCAGCAAGAGGTATGCTTAATGGTAGGGCAAAGGTACGCATCCCATTGACCAGAGATAACGTTTAGCATAGCCCCACTGAAGGAGAACAGTTGCTGTTCTGTTTCCCTCTGAAAGTTTGCTTACCACACCATGGTTACCTTGCCAGAGAGTGTAAGATGAGGAATGAGTTGGGAAGTCATTGCTAAAACACACTAGGAACATGTCTAATTCCTTGGCACAAGAGGTTTGGGGCATTGGAAAATGCCTGGGTGTGACCAGATTCCAGGGTGTGTCTCAGGAAGTCATAGGAGAAAGTTGTTTTACACATGCATAGAGTGGTTTCTGATAGCATTTTTAAAAGGAGAAACTTAAATTAGAAGTTTCTTTGATCCTGCACTAGCAGAAGAGGAAATACAAACAAACAACTAAATCCACTCCTGCCTCTGCTTACCTTGATTCCTATCCTAGTATTTCATTTGCAAAACAGGCCCAGCCCTGTCTGGCAGAGCTTTCTGACCTCACCCACGAGGGGTGATTTATAGCATGGTGATCTCAGGTGTTGTTTATGTGATGCCCAAAGGAGTAAGGAAGTCTCGATAAAGAGATATTATAGAACATCTTCAGCCAGGAAGCAAAATCCCACTTCCGAGCCAGGCTGAGCTTTTAAGATGGCCAGAATGAAGTATGAACATGAAGCTTAGACAGATCAACAATAATGGAGACCCTTAAGCACAAGTAGAGTGACAGCTGAGATAACCTCTACCTGTCCTAGCTTTCAGGCTCTAGTTCACCCAGGTCTTGGCGGACTTCTCCTCACAGCCTTGCCCCATGTGTCTCCTCTATAGAAGGAGACAATTTTGCTATATCACAGATATCCCACAAATCATGATTTTGCAGATGCTCTGGGACTTGCCAGATTGCACTTTCCTGTTAGCATGTGGTTGACAGCCTATTAAACTGTTTCTCTACATTCAGTTTCCATACCTGGTAAAATGGAGCGGGTGGTGGTAACCAGTATCTACTGATGGGGCCACAGAAAGAACAAAATGAAATTCAAGTGATGACTCAGCCCAGGGCCTGGACTATAAGTGAGTCATTTAAAACCCATTTGAAGTCTCTGACCACTTGGTTTAAAGAAAATGCACACACACCCCCTCGAGAGTTTAAAAGAAGCAGATTAGATTGAGAATATGCTACCTGGGGTTGGAGAGTGGGGAATAAGGAATCTAGGCAAAACAAGTGAAAGATCTCCAGCACTTTGATGGGCCCGTGAGGGGGTCAGCAAAGTTCTGAACCAGAATCTTCAATGCAAGGGCACTGCTTGTTGGTGCCGACATACCCCAAGCTTCCAATGTCATTAAAATGTCTATTTCTGTATGATTTCACAAGCAGTAGTGGCAGATTTAACACACCTTTAAAAAATTGTCCACTGAGTAATATGTGTTTGACAGATAGAAGGCTTTCCCTGATCAGAAGGAATGGACAAATTCTGGTCCTTTAGGGGCTCATCAGGCAACTCTTCACATGGCCTAAGATGGGCAACTTTGCCTCCTAGATATTTTTCCCTTGATTTAAAATTAAAATTTAAAGGGAGATTAAAACCATGTGTTTCTGGAAATTTACACATAGTTCATCAAATCTATTGTTTTCTGGGCAATGTTTGAAGTCTAATAAGACTAATGAGAATTTTTTTAAGTTTTTTTAAAATTTTTTTTTAAGGAACATGAGAGGCTTTGAAAGCTGTTCCAAGAGTAAAAATAATAATATTAATAATAAATTGCTCAAAACTCTCTAGCCCTGCAGGTTCAAAATTGACTTATTGCTCTGACCTCAAGAGATTTGAATTATTACTGGAGTTCATTGTCTCTGGTTATGGGGCTTTACAGGAAAGAGAAAGAGGCCACATGGAGGGTCACTAAAATTCGTTATGAGGTTTGCTTCACAGCCATGGCTATATCCCTGGAGACTTCCAGAACCGTCTCAGCCTGAACTTAGACAGGAACCTCCACCCCAACCCTTCCACTCTCAGTCTGGCCCTATCAGTAAATTCTGGCTCAGAACGCTGGAGCCAGAGCCCTCCTTGAATAGTTAGTTCTCTTTCAGGACTCACACTCTATGTTACATAAGTGGGTGCTGTGCTCTTAGACACCTAAACAATGCCGTGGAAATAGAACAACTCTGGTGAGTGCAGAAAACAAAACCCAAACAAATGAAAAGCCAACAGCCTTGACTTCCCTTGAACTCTCTACGTTGTTGTCTGACGACCTCTTGTGGTGAAATCTTTGCCAGCACGTGTGAATCAGTGCTTCTAAACCAAGCCATCCCTTGCTACATTTTCCTACATTCTCTTCCCTGCTGTTCTGTTGGTCACGTTAAGCAAGGAACAAGAATCAGTTGCAAGCACCCAGAATAAAGTGGTGCATGTGCCTGACCGGCTGTAACTGAGCAAATATTACCTGGTGTTTTCTCTTCCAGGGAGCCTCTGATACATTGCCTGTAGCAAGAAACAGGAGCCAACATGAAGGAAAACATGCCATCTGCCCTTGCTTTCATCCTACTTTTTCTCAACATCGGCCTTCTGAATGGTAAGAGACCCTCTTCTTACTCTTCTTGCCTCAAGTGCTTATTGGGGGGTAGAGGCTGTCTCGGTCTGTTGCAATGCAGTTATGAGAAATGAAAACGTTCGTGTCATTTGCTGCTACTAAATTATTTGCCACATTTCTGCATTAAAATTAATGCCAAATCTTATCACTGTGTTCCCTCTCTTCCACCCCCATTTTGAGAGTAGATTGAAAGGGCACTGGGGGTGCCAGGACCTGAGTTCCCATCCAGGTTATAGTCACTAGCTGTGTGATTTGAACCCCTTGTCTATCTCACTGTTTTTAATTTCTCCAAGGAAGGATAATGATATCTCACAAACTTCAGATGAAATAATGTATGTGAACATACCTTTGAAAAACTATAAAGGAATGTAAGCTATTGCCATTACAAGGTGGAAAACAGGTGTAACCACTTTCAGTGTGGGCACTAATAAGAGAAACAAAGCCACAGCTAAATTAAGAGGCATGTAATTGTCTACATAGGTTTCCACATCTATTTCTATGTACTTCTGGGGGTGTGTACTTACGAATGCACCCATGTACACATCAACTGCTTACGGTACCTGATTGTAAATGCTTCTGTGTCTGTATATGTATATGTGTGTGTGGATACCAATGAGTAACCTCTGTGTATTTACATATGTGTATATTGTTGTGTGTATGTGTACCACTATATATTGCCATCATTATGCCTTTGTGTGTATTTCTCTCTGGATATATTTTACATGGGTGTAATGTATTATGTGTGTACTTACTTCTGATGTGGAATCTGTGTAGGCAAGTGTCTGCATTTCTTGGACCTGTATAATATCCCTTGTGTCTGTTCACTGAGACAGTCCATAAAGTTTGTTTCCTCAAGGGGCATGAAAATAACATTCAACTGGTTGTAATCTCACAACCTTACCTTTTCCCCTTGAGTTTCCTAAAAGTGCTATTAATAACCAGTAAAAATGTAGAAAAGATAAGTTCAGAGGGAGGGGAAAGAGAGGGAGAAGGAGAAAGAAGAGAAGAGAAACAAAAATCATGATAACCCGTCAAAGAAACTCTTAAGTACTCAAGTAATCAACAACGGCCCTGTCCAGCTTCAAGTAGCCTCACTATTGAGCTACAGAGTTTGAAGGTTGGCTGTAGATGAATTTCTAAATGGTCTTTTTAAATAAAAAACACGGAGCCAAATATAGGGGTGAAAGCCTTAGATCAGGGAAATAGGGAAAGCCACCAGCCAACCTTACCTCACCAACTCTGCAGCTTCCAAATGAAAGCTACTTCCTGTCTTACCCAAGCCTTTATTGCCTTGCTGTTCTGCCCTCTCATTGGCTTTCTTAGCCCAGCTACCTCACTTCCTTGTCACTGTCTGTCTGTACAGATCTCCAGGTCTCTATGGTTGGTACTGTGATTAAAGGTACCAACACGCTTGACTCTGTTCCCTAGTATGGCCCTGAACACTTAGAGACCCTGCCTGATGATCGAATTAAGGGCATGTGCTGCCTGACTTTTTATTTACTTGAAATAGCTGTCCTTTTCCTCTGATCTCCAGGCAAGCTTTATTAAAGCACAAATAAAATATCACCACATTTGCCCTTTTTTATCTAATAAAAATTAAAAATAAATTTTAAAAAGTTATAACTAATATATGAAAAACTATATACAATAAATACAATAACTATATACAATATATACAAGCAATAAATACATCAACAATATCTAGTCCATTTGCATTTGACAAATTCAAAGAAATTATTCAATTATCTATTCTATTTTGGTGAGTCCAAAATGTACCTAATTCACTTTCTATCCTAACTTATATTACCAACAGAAAACTATCTTATGATGTCTTTCAAACTTATACACAACACCTCTTAGTAAGTTTGTTTTCTGAATTTCTTAACAAGGAAAACTGTAACTATAACTATCTATTCTTCAACTCCCTCAGAGACCCAAGAAGGAAATAATATTACGTGGTAAAACATGAAGTGCAAACAAGCAACTTCCAAAAAAAAAATGTGACTTGACAGAAACAGTCAGCTGCCTGAACAGTCACCTGACTTTTCTCTGCATGTTGGGGCATCATCTTCGACCTATAGGCTTAGTGTATCTGACAGACTCATTTGTGAAGTAGGATGTACACAAAGCCTACAGCTTGACTTCACATCCAGTGAGAGTATTTCGTGTACCAGATAAACTTGAATCCCATCAGTGTCCTGTCATGATTCAGGATTTTAAATTCTAGAAATTGCTGGTGTTTTTGGAATTCAGCTGCCCATTCTTCTCAGCTTGTGCGTGGCTTCATTTCAGCATCCCATTCTTCTTGGCTTGTGGGTGTCTTCATCTCCTTTATTAAATGCCAGTCTACCATTGAGAGGTTAGACTCTGTTAGCCTAGTTACTCCTTCAAGAATAACTGTTTCAGCTACTGTTCCACTGCACTCTAGAAGTCATCAGTCCACTGCCTGTTCAGTTGCCTTCAAAGAAAGGGGCACTGTGCCTTTTCCAGACTGCAAAGTCACTTCAGGGATGGTGCCATATTGTCCTAGCCTCGGAGGACACCTGTTGCCAAAGCTGCAACCACATTTGTCTTGGCAAGGATCAGTAGTCCTTTGTTTTGTGTCCTGTTTGTCCATTTTGGATAGCATGCTGTCAGCAATTGATTCAAGGGCACTTTATTGCCCAGTGGCTAACTTTCGCCACAATCAAAGTTAACTCCACATGCATTTTCTTCAATGCCTATATCTTCTCTGAAGTAGATTGGTGCTGCCAGGAGCCAACATGTCTCATAGTCATTAAAAAAAAATCTTATGTTATTAAAACATTTAAATGCCATATTCTGTAGCTCTCTGAAGGGCTTAAAGATGACCTGTCTATCTAAAGCACATCTCCACTTGACCTTGAAAACATACCTAATATGACTACAAATTCGATAATATCTAACTACTAATTTTCATTTCTTTATATCCTAATAGTTGGTAATAATAACATTCAAGGATTAGCAAATTGCATTACATTGTTAAATGAACTGTATAGGTACAATATCTTGAACAAGATTAAAAATATATGTACAGCATTTTCTAACAATATCAATCTCAATATATATAATTTATATATAATATGTAAAAATCCAATCCAATGTAAAGTATTTAAAACTAGTAGTTATCATTTAAAAGTAGATTCAATAATCTACCTTTTTATCTATATCATATCTATATCCTCTCTTTTTTCTTTTCAGAGTAGATTCAATAATCTAGCTCTTATCTATATCCTCTTTTTTCTTTTCTTTTTTTTTCTTCAAACAAGAACCTTAAATCTAATCTCCTTTGTTTAGCCCTTTCCTTGACCATTAACATCAACAACTTGTAACCAACCATTCTAAACAATGACAATTATCCCAAACCCAAAACCCACTGAAAGACCAAAAACTACCCACCCCACCTCTTGGGAATATGGGCGTCGTGTTCTTAATTACTTCCTGCTGTTTGGGAGTGAAGGCATCTTTAGGAGATCCTGAAAAGAAAAATTTGGGGTTAATTGTCAAGTTCCAGAGTAGTAGCTGTATCATTTGTTGTCCAGCTTCTACATAATGCCAAAGTGCAGGGCTTATCTCAAGTCATCGCTCAAATAGTCTGTGAGGCTGGATCATCTCAGCTAGCCATTTCGAAATTGTCCTGAGTAGTTTGTAGTCCAAAGCTGATCTTTTGGTGGTGTTTGTCAGCTTAGTGGAATTACTATTGTCCACGTGGAATCGTCATTGTGGGGCCCCATCATCTTTCTGGAGACTTCAAATTTGCTGTCAGGCCTGGTCTTGATTCCCTGCAGAAAACTGATAGAGACTCCAACACACAAAAAAACATGTATAGGCAGCTAAATGAAGCCTATTTTCTAGAATTAGTTAGTACTCTATATGACCATTAATATCATTATGAAAGTTTAAAATACGTTTATATTAATCTTATAAATTTTGATATAAAATTCATACCATAAGAAAAGTTTAAAGAATCAAAAGAGAACCAAAGAGTTGAGGTTAGTGGCAATGGAATAGACCCTTAATTTTTGGGTTTTCTTCTGTCCCATATCAGATGGCTCTTTCTTCATACATGATACAGAGATTTTTGCATTTTCCTTTTAACAACATGCTTGGGTTTTTTGGAAGTTGCTCACAATGTTCTTCCTATTTACTTAGGTAATATTATATCCTTCTGAGGTCTTTGATGTAGTTGAAGACTAGATAGTTATAATTTTCCTTGGTTATGATAAAAGATAAATTAGATATGAAACTTCAGCTCACAAATATGGGATAAATGGAATATTTTCTATAATTTTGCCAAATACAAATAGACTAGATATTATAATTATAATTCTTGCTTGATAACTGTTCTATTATATGTAATTTTACTATGTTAAAGTTAAAACCTTCCTTTTTGATTAGACAGAAAGGGGGAGGTGCTGTGGGATGTTCTGTATGCTGTGAATATGTGTTGCTCTGATTGGTTGATAAATAAAATGCTGATTGGCCAGTAGCCAAGCAGGAAGTATAGGCAGGATAAGCAGACAAGGAGAATTCTGGGAAGAGGAAGGCTGAGTGAGGAGACACAAGCCTGCTGTCCAGGGAGCAGCATGTAATGACACACAGGTAAAGCCACGGAACATGTTGTGGCAACATACAGATTAACAGAAATGGGCTGAGTTTAAGTGCAAGAGCTAGTTGGTGGTAGGCCTGAGCTAGTGGCCAAGCAGTTTTAATTAATATAAGCCTCTGTATTTTTACTTGGGTCTGAGTGGCTGTGGACCAGGCGGGACACAGAAAAACTTCAGCTACAGTTGGCAGTGATAGTGGTTTGGATCTCATGTTTTGTTTGTTTGTTTGCTTGCTTGCTTGCTCTTCAGTTGGTTGGTTGGTTGGTTGGTTTTTATCAAGACAGAATTTCTCTGGGTATCCCTGGCTATCCTAGAACTTGCTCCATAGAGCAGGCTGGCCTCAAACTCAGAGATCCACCTGCTTCTGATTCCTAGCGCTGGGATTAAGGACATGCGCCCACCATGCCCTGCTACTTTGGAAGTTTTTTTAATGAATATTTCTCTCTACATCACATGTTTCTCCTCACCCTAACAAAAACAAACAAGAAAAAAGAAACCTTGTATTTCTGCAATGAGTCTTTTGCAATATCACTATCCTGACAAAACCTTCCCTGGAGGATGAGCAATTCTCCAAACATTGGTAGATACACACAAGGTACACACAGATTCTTTTCAGCAGTTCTGTGAGCTCATGTGACACTCTGTCATCACTGACTGGCCAGCCTTCTTTCCATGACCCCGTCTGGTGCACAATCCTAAACCATCCATTAAATTCTTCTTCCTGGATAGATTGTATACCGACCCCCTTTTCTAATCCATGATCCCTTTGCCATGATCTTCATGGCATGCTCTCCTGGACTAAAGTTTCATCCTGAGAGCCTACATGAAAGGTTGAATAAATGTGGGGAAAGATTTAAAAAAAAAAGTAAAAGCCCCCTGAGCTGCTAACACCAATTTCTGAAAGAAAACTCTTTCTACTCCTGAATTTAGCATTGAATCCTCAAGTGGGACCAAAAAAAAAAAATAGGAAAATGAGATATACTGTCAGTTATGGTTGACCTCCCAAACTAACAGCGTCATGACAAAGTCACAAGGTTATTCTGTTCCTCTTTCAAGCAAGAGATTTGGAAATCAGCTTACTAAGAGTTTTGAAAATTAAGCCAGTGAAAAATCTCAACCCCTTGGCCACATCACCTCCTGCAGACCTTCTCACTTCTTGTGCTGACAGTGGGAACATCCCTTATCTAACCATGGTAGCTCAGAGTGGAACTACCCCCTATCCTACCTCTTACCATACTTCCTGCTTTTGAAGATCCACAGAACTACAGGGAAGTTTTGAGTCACCTACTCATAAAAAGAACCAAAGGAAGTGGGAGAGAAACAAAGAAAGAAGGGATGGGGAGTAAGTACAAAAGGAAACTAAAAACCAAGATTCAGAAAATAGCAAAAGGAAGAATTAGGGGATAGTGAAACTAGACTATAAGTCTGTAGAGTTCTCAGCCACAGGTAGGACATCTATATTACACACACACACACAAACACACACACACACACACACGCACGCACGCACGCACGCACGCACACACAGCTCAGGAGCCATTTTGGGAGAGGGGATGGAAGAACTGTGAAAGCCAGAAGTCAAGGAAGACTGGAATGAAACAGTGACTTCTGCACATGGCAGGACCACTAGACTCATAATTTCACAGTAGCTGAGGTTGTGTGCAGATGGCACAAGATTAAGCCAGTCAACAGTCCAACATGGAAGGGCTCCTGAGTCCCCATCCCCAACTGAAGCACTATTGACATCTGACAACTTCTAGGGGATCTTCAGGGTCAATCTAAGTGTATAGCCCCTGCGTGTCAACAAGACTCCAGTGGATAACTAGCCTTACACTTAGAAGTTTATAAAAATACAGATCAGACTCTCTCTCTCTCTCTCTCTCTCTCTCTCTCTCTCTCTCTCTCTCTCTCTCTCTCTCTCTCTGTGTGTGTGTGTGTGTGTGTGTGTGTGTGTGTGTGTGTGTGTGTGTGTGTATGTCTGTTAGAGAAAGAGAGAGTTTGTAGGGATAAAGGCTAGAGGTAGATCTAGGAAGAGTTAAGGAGGGCAGTGGGGAATGAATATATTCAAAACACATTGTATGCATGCATAGAGGCTCCAAAGAATTAATAAAAACATATTTTTTAAAAACTGAATCACTCAGCCAAGGCTGTACAGAGTCAAGATAAAGAGGAAAGCAGAAAAGGAGAAGGCAAAGGAGGGAGGAAGTGACCGGGGATACCCAGATAAAGGGCCATAAGTGATGCAGATAAAGACAGGGGTAGAGTTAATGCTGTGGGAATGCCAGAAAAGTACAGATTCCTGATCAAAGAGGAGACATGCCACAAAGCAATGCACTAACTGTATACACAGGTCACTTGTCACTGGGGAAGCATGTTTCAGATGGTAACACTAATGCCATCTAGACTCTATGGGAAGAAGAGCTAGCTACATAGTCTCCATATGCATCCATCTCTCTCCCCTCCCACTCATTCTTCGTTGAAATTTTTATCACTGTATCTCATAAAAGTTTTTGTTATTTCCATCTGAAAATGCAAGCATACACCACAAATCACCATCATCTAAGTGCCCTGCTAGCAAGAGAATAGCACAGAGGAATGTAGTTGGATGCTGATGCAGTGGCCTCATCACTGGCCAGGGTGCCAATCATCTGCCTCTGTTACCAGCAGCTCAGTTAAGCAGTTGAATGGACCTCAATATCAATTCTAATGGCTTATGGCTATTTTGTTTTAGGACAATCACCACCTGGAAAACCTGAGATCCACAAATGTCGTTCTCCTGACAAGGAAACATTCACCTGCTGGTGGAATCCTGGGACAGATGGAGGACTTCCTACCAATTATTCACTGATTTACAGCAAAGAAGGGTAAAAAGCTCTCTTCCATCCTATCAAACCCCACCTTAGCGCTCACATGCTCCAGGCCCAAGTTACATTAGTTCTTATTATAAATTCCACACTTTCCTGGATATATATCAATAAGGCTCATACCACAAGGATAGGGATCTAATGTCTCTAGCCCATCTTGTTCTGTAAAAGCATTTTACAGACTCAGTCTTCAAATGCACATTGACCAGTAGCATTATAAAACTAACCAAGTTTCCAAATGTCTGTCACAAATTTAGATTACAGCCCAAATCACCATTTCCTATGGGTTGCCTAATCTTAGCTGCTCAGCCATAACCACTTGACATTTGTAGGGTTTTTTTTCTTAGTTAATACACTACTTTTACAACATAACGATTATACAAACTGTGTGATTCTTGGCAGCCATGGTACATTAGGTTTTTCGAATGTGTTTCATGCCCAAGAAAAAAAAATAACATTTAAGGAAAAGAACTTGAGGATTTTTTTTTTTTTTTTTTTTTTTTTTTTAGCAAATTGCTGAACTAAAGGATACAAGTCATGGGAGAACACATCTGTAATCCTAGCATTCTGTAGGCAGAGGCAGGAAGATCACAAGTTCAAAGCCAGCCTGAGCTACATAGAGAACCCCTATTTCAAACACAATAAGAGAATAAAATTCAAGATCTCCTAAAGGCCAGAGTTAAATGTAACATTGCCAAGACGCCAAAATAAGATCATCTCTAGATGATAATTTTGATAAAATCACAATGAGACTCTCCTAGAAATCTTAAACAAGCTAAGGAATGTTAGTCTAGCAAAAAGTACACTTCCGTGTCTTGGACCTAAAAATAAAATATGTATTACTGAAGGAGACGGTCATGCCACTTTGCAAGGACTGCTTGTATACAAAGCTGTCCTTCCATATGGGATCCAAAGAGGCATGACACAAATATTTAAAGGACCCAGAATTGAAGCATCCTCTAACACCTGTGTGGTGTGAGTGGAGTTGAGGCTGTTAAAATATGAGCAACTTCATGAGCCACGTGGGGCTGAAATATCTCCTTTCAAGGCCACTTCACTCTGTTGCTCACTTGACCATCTAAAGTGTACTGACATCAGTGCATCTCCTCCTAAATCCTTTTGTTTAAATGTAGCTCAGCATGTTTGCATGACCAACACTGCATTATGGATGATCCCATAATATGAATGTGTGCTAACAAAGGTCCCAATTGCCTGAGCTGATCCAATGGCGATGCCATTGGTCTGTGTGTGCCTTGGCCACTGGTAACTCAGGAGGACAAACCACAAGGTTCATAGAGACACCTTCAGGAAAGAAGGGTTCGTGAGCAGCAGAGAACTGAGATGCTAAACTAATCTTTCCGCCCGTTCTTCCAACACACTTCTTTCCCTCGCTCCCAGCTGGTATAGTTAGAGCACCGAGCCACTAGGATCCATTTTTCTGCTTCCATTCTTGTACCTTGAGCACCTTATCCCCCAAATCCAATAATATTCATCTATTAATAACAAAAATGAGACTCTTGTTTTCTTATTCACTCTTTTTTTTACTTTTTTTTTTTTGGTTTTTCGAGACAGGGTTTCTCTGTGTAGCTTTGCGCCTTTCCTGGGACTTACTTGGTAGCCCAGGCTGGCCTCGAACTCACAGAGATCCGCCTGGCTCTGCCTCCCGAGTGCTGGGATTAAAGGCGTGCGCCACCACCGCCCGGCCTTATTCACTCTTAATGCGTTACTTGTTGCAGAGAGAAAGACACCCATGAATGTCCAGACTACAAAACCAGTGGCCCCAACTCCTGTTTCTTTAGCAAGCAGTACACTTCCATATGGAAAATATACATCATCACAGTAAATGCCACTAACGAGATGGGAAGCAGTGCATCGGATCCACTTTATGTGGATGTGACTTACATAGGTAAGAGGAAGGGAAGTGGGTGAGGAATTTGTTACTGTTACGTTATGTTATATAGTTAGCAAAAGTCTAACTCAGTTTGGGTCTTGCTGGCTTACGTATGGATCCTAGATAAGAAAAGTGAGAGAACTCACAGTATCTCTGTCGGGCAAGCATTTTGCAACAACAGCATTGATTCTTGACAGCAAGGTCAGTCCTTGGGATCTTCGAGTTCTCATGTTTTCCCTCAACTCTAATCTTAGTGTCTTAAATCCAGTGTGTGTGTGTTCTGCATGCTTCCTTTATTAATAGTTCCCTCAGCCCTCTCCCTGCAACCATGTTGCCTTCTTTACCAGGAAACTCAAGTTTCTTTTCTTTTTGGTGGGGGTGTGCTGGAGATGAAACCTAGAGATGGACATGAAGGCAAGCATTCTCTCACTGAGCTATACCAACAGCTCCAAACGTCTTTCTTTTCTTTCTCCTTGTGGAAGACAGGAATATTCTTCAGAAATGAAGGTCTTTAAAAGCATCTTCAGGTTCTGAAACCACAGGAATCATTCCAAATACCTTGACTGAAATTCAGCTCTCTACAATATCATATCTACTTCATTATGAGATATTATTAGACAAAGACTGGTGGGGGTAGTGGGGTTATAGTTTAATGATAAAATGCTGCCTAGTATAAATTAAAAAAACCCTAGGTTCAAGTATTCCCAAAATATAATAATAATAGTAGTAGTAGTAGTAGCAGTAATAATAATAACAATAGGAAGTAGGTAGTAAATGGTCAAAGATTACAGTCACTTATATATTGTTTGTAAAAAGCATTCATAAAGCAGAGCAGTAGATCTGAGACAGTTCCTTGCTTTGCATGATGAGCATTATGTAGCAGGGCAATTGGACACAGCTGCAACGGCCTTTATGGTTAACCCAGACAATAAATAGGCTCCTAGGAAAATAGATAGGATGAGGAAAATGAGGTTCTTATTTATCTTAGATAATAATTTATGAAGCAGTTAATAAAGTTTGAAATTACTCAAGCCTTCCCAATCTAAGTAATACCACTCAACAACAGAAAGCAGGCTGAGACCATACAGTCATCACACATCTACCTCCCAACTTCATGTCCTCATTTTTGTTTGTTTTTTTTTTTTTAAGAAATTTTTTTAAACTGGGCGGTGGTGGCTCATGCCTTTAATCCCAGCACTTGGGAGGCAGAGGCAGGCAGATCTCTGTGAGTTTGAGGCCAGCCTGGTCTACAACACGAGTTCCAGGAAAGGCGCAAAGCTACACAGAGAAACCCTGTCTCGGAAAAGAAAGAAAGAAAGAAAGAGAGAGAGAGAGAGAGAGAGAGAGAGAGAGAGAGAGAGAGAGAGAGAGAAAGAAAGAAAGAAAGAAAGAAAGAAAGAAAGAAAGAAAGAAAGAAAGAAAGAAAGAAAGAAAGAAAGAAAGAAATTTTTTTGTTCATTTTACATACCAACCACAGATCCCCCTCTCATTCCTCCCACTCACCCCCAGCCTTCTCCTCCCTCCCCCAACCCACCTCTCATTCCCTCCTCAGAAAAGGTAAGCTCTGGGAGTCCAGTTGAAGAGAGGGAAGAGTGATTATATGAGCAAGGAGGATCAAGATCATGATGGGGAAATATACAGAGACAACTGAACCAAGCTCATGGGAACTCACAAACTTTAGACCGACAGCTGTGGAACCTGCATGGAACTGGACTAGTCCCTCTGCATATGGGAGACAGTTGTGTAGCTTGGTCTGTTTGAGGGGACCCTGGCAGTGGAATCAGGATCTATCCCTGGTGCATGAGCTGGCTTTTTGTAGCCCACTACCTATGGTAGGATGCCTTGCTCAGCCTTGATGCAGGGGGAAGGGGCTTGGTCCTGCCTCAACTTGATATGACATGCATCGTTGACTTCCATAGGAGGCCTTACCCTTTCTGAGGAGTGGTTGGGGTGGGTAGAAAGAAAGTGGAGGGAGAGACTGGAGGAGAGGAGGGAGGGGAAACTGTGGTCGGTATGTAAAATAAAATAATAATAATTAATAAATAAATAAAAGCTGCTTCTGGGTTTCAAACAACAATCATGATGGAATGTGTGACATTAGACCAGTAACTGTCCCTCTTTTGGTTTCTCTTCTACCAAAGGGGCAGAGTAATACAGGTGCATGACATTGGGGGAGGAGGTTAAATGGTGATTCATTGTTAGAATATTATTTTAATTCAGGGCATGTGGTGTGCATTCAAGAAATGTCAGGATTTTGCTAGTGGGAATTCGATGAACATTTAGTAATGGTAATCCTCTCTAGCACTTTGCTTTTCCTATTCCCATGGGGTCTTCATTTATCATGGTCTCTTTTTCCTTGTTCTCCCTCTCTGTTCTTGATCCAGCTGGGATCTCCCGCTCCCCTAAGCTCTCTTTCCCTTGACCCTTGCCCTTCATTACCCCCCCCCCCCATGTACAGTTTGCTCATGTAGATCTCATCCATTTCTCTGTCATTGGGTGATCCCTGTGTCTTTCTTGGGGTCCTGTTTTCTAGGTAGCCTCCCTGAGTTGTGAGTAGCAGTCTAGTCATCCTTTGTTTTACATCTAGTATCCTCCTATGAGTGAGTACATACCATGTTTGTCTTTCTGAGTCTGGGTTACCTCACCCAGGATGATTTTTTTCTAGATCTATCCATTTGTCTGCAAACCTCATGATGCCATTGTTTTTCTCTGCTGAGTAGTATTCCATTGTGTATATGTACCACATTTTGTTTATCCATTCTTCAGTTGAAGGGCATCTAGGTTGTTTCCAGGTTCTGGCTATTACAAACAATGCTGCTAGGAACATAGCTGAGCATGTGCCCTTGTGGTATGATTGAGCATTCCTTGGGTATATGCCCAAGAGTGGTATAGCTGGGTCTTGGGGGAGATTGATTCCCAATTTTCTAAGAAAGTGCCATGTTGATTTCCAAAGTGGCTGTACAAACTTGCATTCCCACCAACTGTAGGAGAGTTCCCCTTGCTCCACATTCTCTCCATCATAAGCTGTCTTCAGTGTTTTTGATCTTAGCCATTCTGACAGGTGCAAGGTGGTATCTCAGAGTCGTTTTGATTTGCATTTCCCTGATGATTAGGGATGCTGAGCAATTCCTTAAATGTCTTTCAGCCATTTGAGTTTCCTCTGCTGAGAATTCTCTGTTTAGCTCTATAGTCCATTTCTTAATTGGACTGTTGGGCATTTTGATGTCTAATTTCTTGAGTTCTTTATATATTCTGGATATCAGCCCTCTATCAGATGTGGGGTTGGTGAAGATCTTTTCCCATTCTGTAGGCTGTCGCTTTGTCTTGTTGACTGGAGACACACGCCTTTAATCTCAATACCAACCATAGAAGACATGGAGGTCTGTATAGAAAGGCAGTGACGAGGAGGTCATGTGGTTGGGTTTAAAACCAATGAGAAGGCAGAACAGAAAGTCAATAAAAAGAAAGATACACAGGAAGTAGGTCTCTTTTTGGAGGGGAAGGATGACAGTGGCAGCGAAGGGTAAGAAATGTTTTTTAGTATCAGCTCTTAGCTATTGCTCTGACCTCTTGGGCTTTTAACTCTGCATTTGGCTCTGTGTTTCTTATTTAATAAGACTGTTCCATCTACACTGTTCTCCACAGGGAGTGATGTATATTTTGAGTGTGGAATATAGCTGATGAACTAAAGGCAAAAATCTGTAAACTTGTTACCTGCAAAGTTATAAAAATGAATGAGTGATGCTAAAAAAGATACGCAGACTTTCAAGGAGATGGTCGCTCCTAACTAAGGAAAATAAACTATTTCAAATTCCTTTTCCAATAATCTCCTATACCAACTTTGACTTGAAACTCCCATCCCAGTTATTAGCACATGGTCAATGCCATTAAGGGAAAAAAATGTGAATATGTATATGAACCTGACTGGTAGAAAGTGGAGCATACAGCCAAAGCAAAATCTCAGTTGTTTATTTTTGTTACTATTCAAACCCCATCTTCAAGTACAAACATGATTGATCACATATTAAGAGTAAGAAGGTATTTATCATGCTCTCTAGGAGCTTATAATCCAGTGGGGAAAGTGGGCTGATAGAAAATGCAAGCCATGGTAGAAAACAGTAGGGTCAAAAAGAAGATCCAAGCTATGAGGGAAACTAAAATTTCTTTTGTATCTACAGTTGAGCCAGAGCCTCCTCGGAACCTGACTTTAGAAGTGAGACAGCTAAAAGACAAAAAAACGTATCTATGGGTAAAATGGTCCCCACCCACCATAACTGATGTGAAAACTGGTTGGTTTACGATGGAATATGAAATTCGATTAAAGTCTGAAGGAGCAGATGAGTGGGAGGTGAGTCAAACAGATGCTTATTGGAGGAGCCATGTCCTTTTGGTAAGGATAAACATCTCACAACAGAGTAGATAATTTCCCCAGTTACATGCCCACCATGTGGGCATCCCCTTGCGAACATAGCACTGCTAGATAAAGAAATGTCATCTCCCTTCTACTAAGATTGAAGGATGTTCATATTCACAAATCTCACAAAGACAGTTGCTTGTACTTCCCAATTTACCTTCCTAAGTATATCTCAGACAACATGTTCTGGAATAACATAAACTATACTGAGGCTGGAGGCAAGAAAGTCAGTTTAATATGTCCATGGTCAATGTTTTTAAAGAAATGCTTTGTAATACTTCAGCATAAAATGATAGTGCCACTATTATAGGCATTATGGTATTCTACCCTCTGTCTTTTGGAAATGGGACATTTGCAAACATAGTCAAAATAATGGGATCACACATTTTAAAAGGTAATTAAAATATCTAAATAAAATATAGTGGTTAGTCTATTATATTTTAATCCTCCCTGGCTCAGTTTCTTCAAAAATATTTTTAACAGCTGGTTTGTCCAAACAAAAGTCTACTCCAAGACAGTTTTGATGTAGTAAGAAGAGGCTACTTGTTCATAAGGATGCCCCACAATCTTCACTTTTTATTAGTTGTTTGTACAATCACTTAGCTAATATCTATGCCTCTGTACTGTCTGCAACCAGACTTTAGATTTGAGGACTTGATTAGATTCAGGTTGAATCACATGTAACTCAACATACTCTATAAGTAATTAGTATGAACTTCATACTATATTCATCATCACCAACAGCATCATGATCATCATCATCAGGAGGCATGAGGCATCTGGTTGACCTAGTATAAATGATACTAAATTTGAGGTCTAGGTTAGGGAGGTAGAAACCTGTCTCCTTTGCTAAATAACATTTTATTTGTGTACAATCACTTCAAGATACATGAAGACTTGGTTTTCTTCTACCTAGTACTTTTTACATCAACTAGTAATCCTTTAAATCAATCACTTTATTGGAATTTGTAAACTAATAATTTTATTGTCTCTTATGTGTATGTGCTAATTTGTTAACAAGAATCCTGTCTTTCACTAAATAAAGTGGGAAGGGGGTGGGAATTGTCTTTCTGAAATAGAGTTCCAAATGAAGACATAGAAAACCTTTTAAATTTTTGTGAGACAATTTTTTAAGAAAAATTTTTTATTCATTTTACATACCAATCAAAGATCACACACTTCTCTCCTCCCATCCCTCCAGTCTCCCCATTGTGAGACATTTTTAAGAGGAAGAAAAGGATGGAATAGGGTAAGGAAAACAGGACATCCTCTAAGCACAGCTATGTCTACCTAACTCCCTAATAATTTAAGATATAAAAGAAAAATATCTTTCCTCATAACAAGAGTCAGAGGTGACTTCCATTTTTCTTGTTGTTCCTTAGACCCATTTTACGGGGCAGCAAACACATTTTAAGGTTTTTGACTTATATCCAGGACAAAAATACTTTGTCCAGACTCGCTGCAAGCCAGACCATGGATACTGGAGTAGATGGGGCCAAGAGAATTCCATTGAAATACCCAATGGTGAGTGTTTTGACTGTGTTTTTTCCTATATTTATAAGTATTACTAGCAGTAAAACTTCATGTAATAGCTATTAATATAGAAACTATTTTTAGCCTTATTTAGAAAAGTAGGCAGAGATATGATTATCAACTCTTAATCTAACAAAGACATTTGGAAAAGTTGTATTATTGCCTGAATTATAGTTGATAAACACACCAGTATCTAGAGTAAAGTTACAGGAATAAGTCTAGAATGTCCTCCAAGGACTCGTTGGTCATTCATTCTGACTCCCTATTTGTCTTACGCCTACCTACTATTGATGGGTTGCTTTTCAAGTCAAGAAATATAAGTAGAAAGAAAAAATCTTGAGTCCAAGAGTTTCATGTGTTATATTGGGTAATTGGTTTTTAATGATGATATTATGTATGATCAAAGCTCTCTGGCTGTTTTTTTTTTTTTTTTAGACTTCACCTTGAAAGATACAACCGTGTGGATCATTGTGGCCATTCTCTCTGCTGTCATCTGTTTGATTATGGTCTGGGCAGTAGCTTTGAAGGGCTATAGGTACTATATTGTCTCTCAGTTCTTCTTTCAGTCATTGTTATTGGGAATAATGACAAAAAAAAACAAACACTGATATAAAGATGATGGAAACTAACAGGCAGCCTAAGCACCTTATTTATCCATTAGTGCCAGTACTTTTTCTCATACAAAAAAAAAAAGAAATCTTTTATCAGTGGCTTGTTTAAGCATTAAAATGTGCTTATTGAATCCAGTGCTCTTTCCATAAAATATGGAGTTAGAGCTATAAAATTGTGGAAATTTGGCTCAAGCAGCTAACATTGAAAAAACTAAGTGGAACAAATAATCCAGTAGCTTGAAATTAGCATTCAAAAATTAGCCAGTGAAGGTGTAGTGTATGTCTCTACAATTACCTCTCTCTTTTACTACTACTTTAATACAGTCATAGAATTCAACCTCTTATAGCCCATGCATCAGCTATTTGGGAATTGGGATGGGGGTATCTCTTTCAAATTTATAATGAAAATATGAGTCATTTATACACTCTCACAAATTGTTTTATAGCATGATGACCTGCATCTTTCCACCAGTTCCTGGGCCAAAAATAAAAGGATTTGATACTCATCTGCTGGAGGTAAGTGACAGAAGCAGAGAATGTGATGTGACTCACCACTTGGTGATAATTAAGTTTATACATGCACACTCAATCCTCATCAATCCATCCTGGCCCTCTTGGTCATCTCTTTCCAGTTGCCTCTCCTCATCAGCACGTAGGCTAACAGAAGAAAGTGTTTGGGATGAGTGTGTTAATCATCACATGCTAAAAGTCAGAGAGCAAAGAGAGAAAGCCAAGAAACACTCAAACTCATGGTGAGGCTTGTTACATTGCCCATTTTGGGCTGCTCCCAAAAATGGAGATGACCATTTTGTTCAAATAATGAGTTTAGAAAGAGAGCAGATATTTTTAACTAGCTCATTACCACCATCTCCCTTATACATGAGTCCAAGCTTCGACTTGAATGTTCTTTATATAAGCCTCTGTGACAGAATTTTCCATTGTCCCCATGCTCCATTTGAGTAGTCAGTAGATCAGTACTCTATGGGCTGGTGTTTAAAACATTTCTCTCTGGGTTGAAATGTATAGTTTAATCTACCTTAATAATGATGTATAAAAAAGCCATCACCTGTATATAAAAGTAAACGCCAGTTAATGCAATTGCCACAAATTTAAGCTTATAAGAATGTAAGAAGTAAATTTGATTTGTCTTTCAAAATCATTTTGATTGTAACTATTACAGCAAGGACTGAGCTGAGGAGTTTGGGCTTCCGGGCCAGTGGTCTTACCCACTATTCAGGCTAGTATTGACCTTTTTAAAACCAACAGGAATGTCTCAGCTAAGCAAATTACCTAGTATCTGTCTTATAGCTCAACCTACTAGCCACAGAGACCTAATAATAAATGGCTACTTTAGGGTTACACTTTTTATATTCTTTTCTTAAATTACCTCTAATCTTCAAAAGAACCCTTGCAGATAAATGGTATTACTCCCATTATAAAATTGGAGAAGCTATCATCCAGAAAGGAGAGCAACCTATCCAAAGTCATATCTACCTGATAAGGGATAAAAGCCAAGACTTAGCCATATGACCTAAGTCAGAGGACTGGGGAGAAGAGGGGAAGAGAAAAGAGACCAGAAGACGAAAGAGAGAAATAGGATGTAGAGAGAGATAATGTGGAACAGGAGGAAGAGAGAGAAGGAGGAAGGAGGTGAAAGACATAGAGAAAGAATAGAAAAAGAGGACAAAAGAGACAGGAAAGGAGAGGTGGAAAATAGTAAGAGGAGAAATGTGAGACGGAGGAGTGGTAGGAGAAGCCAGAGACAAGGACCACTCCACTGTCACCACACCCCAGAAGTGGTGCAAGAGGCTAGGAGGCCAGCCACTACATCTCGGAAGTACTCTGCGGTGACAACCAGTGTCAGGTGTATACACAAACACTACGACTTCAAATGTTTCACAAGACATTTTCATTTCATAGTTTCATGTTTATCGTACATTGAGTAGTATATATAGTACTTACCCCTGAAGTTCAAAACCACTATTAGAGACAAAGAAAAATTATGAAAGACATAAAGAAAAGTATTTGGTGAATAATACTCAAAAGGTGCTTATAGATGGCCTGATGCACACGTCTGCGGTCTGGGGGCAGCGGGGAGGAGCGGGGGGGTTGGATACTGTGAGAGTGCTCACAGAAGCCTTCTGCTGAGCAGGAGGAGGTGGAAAGCTTCCATTCCAAGACTAAGCAAGATGCACATGGCTGCTGCCCCAGAAACAAAGCCCCTTTACTCTTCTCAGATACCACTCAGCTGTGATGCCGAGAGTGACATGTGCTGAAGCTAACAGCATCTCTCCTTGTGTCTATGTTTCAATAGAAGGGCAAGTCTGAAGAACTCCTGAGTGCCTTAGGATGCCAAGACTTCCCCCCCACTTCTGACTCTGAGGACTTGCTGGTGGAGTTTTTAGAAGTGAATGACAGTGAGGACGTGCAGCTAATGCCATCCCATTCCAAAGAGTACCCAGGTCAAGGTGTAAAACCCACACACCTAGATCCTGACAATGACTCTGGTCATGGAAGCTATGACAGCCATTCTCTTTTGTCTGAAAAGTATGAGGAGCCCCAGGCCTACCCCCCTGCTTTCCACATTCCTGAGATCATTGAGAAGCCAGAGAATCCTGAAGCAAATATTCCTCCCACCCAGGACCCCCAAAGCAGCATCCCCTATTTTCATTCAGATGTGTCTAAATCTTCAACATGGCCTTTACTGCCTGGCCAACACATGACCAGATCTCCTTATCACAGCATTGTTGATGTGTGCAAGCTAGCTGGAGGTCCTGTAGATACACTTGCCTCTTTCCTAGACAAAGCAGGAAAAAACCTTCTAAAATTTTCTAAAACCCTCAAGACTGGAGAGGAAAAAGAGGTGGCTGAGCAAGAGGAGATGAAAAGCTTCCATTCTGAGACTAAACAGAACACATCATGGCCCCTGCTCCAGGAGAAAGCTCCCATTGTCTATGCTAAACCCCCAGATTATGTGGAGATTCACAAAGTCAACAAAGATGGAGTACTATCATTGTTCCCCAAACAGAAAGAAAACAACCAGGCAGAGAAGCCCGGGGTTCCTGAAGCCAGTAAGGAGTATGCCAAGGTGTCTGGGGTTGTGGATGACAACCTCTTGGTGTTAGTGCCAGATTCACGAGCTCAGAACACAGCTTTGTTTGGGGAATCAGCCAAGAAGGCTCTACCATCGCTTGAACAGAATCCACCTGAGAAAGATCTGGCCAGCTTTGCGGCAACCTCAAGCAACTGCAGACTCCAACTGGGCAGGCTGGATTACCTGGATCCTACATGCTTCATGCACTCCTTTCACTGATAGCTAGACTTATGGAATGATCGGCTAAAATGTGATTTTTTTTCTTCAGGTAACACTACAGAGTCATGGAATAATGTGGTCTGCTAGTGAATGTTACAGGATGTGGGTAAAATAACACTACTTCACTCCTTTTCATGTCGTGTTCAGCACTTGCCTCTTTTCAACAGCTGATATCCAGAACAAATCGATCTTGTTTCCTGTGATTTGTAGACTTTCTCTTTGCTATAAATATATATATATGTATGTATGTATACATATATATATTATATGTGTTCAATGAAATAAAAGCACATTGCCTACCATTCTTGAGGGATGGTGCCAGCAGGTACAGCCACTGCAATAGATTTGGCATGTGATAGAAGGTATGAAACACTCAAAAGGACTTAGCACAAGAAGATGACAGATATGCTGAAAATGCCATGAAAACCGCTTTTAAAACTGATTGCTAAGCCTTTACACTCCTCTTTCATTCTATTAGGATGGTCCAAGCATAGCACTTTTTTGAAGGAATACATTCTGGGACACCAGCCAAATTGTTTACAACAGTCCCTATACCTTACTGATCCTTTGCCTGTATGCAAATGAAATCATGCCCCAATTTTTTCTTAAAGTAGTTTGAGTATGTTAAGCATGGGTTATTCTGCCTAAGCTTTATTTCTTTCTAAGGCCCCTAGAGTGTATAGTTTGGCGGAATATAATTTCCTTACAAAATAAGATCAATGAATTCCACGTGGTGAACCATTTTCAAATGTGTTCCTTGCTTCATTTCAGCAAGACAGATGATTTGTTATAGACCCTAGTATTTTCTTATTGAAAAAAAAATTCCCAAAGACTAATTTTAATCTAAACGGTAATCATTGCAGGATGCTAATAGAAGTGTTGCCTTACTGTATATACAATTCTGCTTTAATACAAACCCGTAAGTTTAGCACTGTATTTTTGAAGACTATTTTTCTATTGCTTAGGTAAAGTAAAGACTATTTTCTAACTTCCCAGTACTGCTGTTTACGTCTTCAAATGGGGACAGTAATTTTTGCTGCAAGGTTATAATGAGTATTCAAAGTACATAGTATATGCAGTATATATGTGCATATATAGTATATGCAGACCCTGTTAGAGTGAAATGCCAGGCCAATCCATTGCCCACTGAGGAATGTGAAGCAGACAAAAAATTCAATAAAGTAGAATAGAGTATAGTCTATCTGATTATTTTTTTCTTCCAGTTACTTTAAATAGCAGCCATCATTGACTTAGGGTTTTAGGACTCTCTAGACCTAAAATATTTCTCCCGTGAACTTAGGGCTCTGCTCACCTATGGGCGAATCTTATGAACCATCATGGAAGTGGAGAGTAGTGACTGCTAGCAGAGTTTCCAAGACAGAGAATTGGCTTTGTGTTATTTGCTTTTTTTTCTGAGCAATCCCGAACACAAAAGAATTTTAAGCAAAACTAAAAGTCAATATCTCTTTGGAATAAATGTATTTGAAAACTCTTGGCAGAAGTTGCTCACATCAAGAATGTCCAGATAAAAGTTCTAGGAAAGCAAGCAGCTGTCCAGTGATAAGAACAGCTTCAAAGGTCAGGGGATGGGAGAATCTGTAAGACAGCTCCAAGAGTAGGCTTCCTAAGGAGGCTCAAAGCCTTGTATCTCCATATTAATAAGAGTATCTGCGACTCATGTTCTGCACTCTGCTTCCCTCTGCTCTTCATATCACCTATAGGCAAATCAGTTCTCTGTCCATTCATTAACTGGATATAGAGACTCTGAACTCACCTTTTGTGAGTTAAATATTTCACCCAACAAGCACATGTTGGTAGAAACTGGATTCAGAGATTCCTTGAAGACCAAAAGTAGACGTAGAGCCAACACTTTCAGAACTGCAAGTGCAAACACCTGAAGCATATTTCCCAGTACATAAACATCTTGTGAACAACAGAAGCATTTGGGAAAGTTGTCCAGGATCATTCAATGCCCTGGACCCTCCATACTAAATGTCTGAGGACCAACTGCATTGCATCACATGGGTGCTACTTGGAAATTTTGTTTGCAGCATCTCAAGCCTCATCGAAGACATACAGAATTGGAGTCTGCATTTTACTAAATGCCCAGATAACTCACATGCACACTCAAGCTGGAGAAGCATTGTTTTCTACGACCATTTCCACAAAAGGTTATTTTTTCCCTCTCTTGGAAAGTACGGAGCAAGTCTTTTAAACTTGAAATAAGCAACACTGTATATAAAGAAAAAGCAAAAACAAAACTATCAGTCATTTAAGATTCACATAATGATGAAGTTTATATGAAGTCACATGAGAGAATGACATGCAAAATACACACACCTTCCAAGAGGGTCAATGAATCTAGTTCACCTTGAAAACTACTGACAAAATAAACATCAAAGCCAGTGTAAACTAAACCTTTCCCAACATATTCTATTCTTCTCCAGGAGATAACAAATCATGACCACTATAGAATTGATAGTGCATATTGTACTCATAGTTTGAAACTTAAAAATCTGCATCTGATATATAGTTTCACATATGTGAAAAACATGACTGTCTAAAGGCAAGTTACATCCCACAAAAATCAGTTAACATTCATGAAATTAAAAAATAAAATAAAATAAAACCCATAGTTCAATTTGTTTATTAGAATTCTTATGGTCAAATATTTTCTGTTGAAAAACAGCTGTTTGAGTGAAAGAATGAATATTAGGAGTCAAGATATCTGGGTTCTAGTCCTGCTTTGCCTTGGAAAGGCCAATTACCTATTTTGGATTTCAGTTTTCTCTGACTATGTTGGATGGATAATCTGAAAGCCCTATTGAAATTCGGTATCCTTGATTCTATGACTCACTGAGCAATTTGAACCAATTCCTGACATCTTAATTAAGTTGCTAGACAGTTGTAGAAATGCAAAGTCACCTTCACTGATGTACTCATCCCTGCTTCACTCCTTAAAGGCTCGACATCCCGTTAGTCTGCACATATGAAGACAAACAGGATGTTGAGACTTTAAGTCAGACTCTAAGATCATGGGCAAATATGTGTTCAGAGATAAGACGTATAGCTAAGAAAGACACAGGAAATGAGACACTGGTCTTTAGAAAAACTATCTTTGATGCATCAAGCCATGCTTATTCCTGTGTGGAGCCAACAGCTTCAAGTCTCTGTTCTTGTATTTGGTTGTTGACTGTTTTCCTATCATCATAGTTCATGAATAACCATTGAACATATAAATTAAAGAACCTTTTGCTCTGAATCACAAAAATGTATAGTTTTGTAAGCAACTAAGAATTCAGGTTCTGAAGTACATGGAAACTGAATATATCCAGTGGATGATTGATAGAACTTTAGGGCACAAATGGCAAAATATTCTCTGATAGGTTTTAACAGATGCATAGAAGGAACTTTAATATGAGCACAACTTACCATCAACTCTGTCACTGATTTTTAAAAGATGATACATTCTCCTAAGTGCCTGAGACCAATTCTGGTAATCAGTTATAGGCTAATGATTCACTGTAAACTGGTTTGGTGGGAAGCAGCCAAGCTCTTGTTGCATGTGAAAAATCAAAGCTGGGAGGAGACTCTTTGCTTGGCGTAATCCGAGAGAATTGGTGAATCTTCAGTTAATGAACAAGCAAAGGACTTGAGCTCCAGGGTAAAGATTGTCCAAACAGAAGCCTAGCTCCTTTTTTTTTAATTTTTTTTTTATTCAGCTTCCCTCTGCTGTCCATAATTTGCAAAAAAAAAAAAAAAAAAAAAAAAAAAAAAAAAAAAAAAGACTCAGCTTGCCCTTAGCAACTTCAGTCTAGCATAAACAAGAAAGAAACAGATCTGGATACATTTTACAAAGTGCCTTTCTTTACTTAAAAAAAAAGGTTTCAGTTTGGAAGAAAAGTGCATTGATTGGAAAGTAAATTTTACCTTAAATGGAATTCTTTTTAAAAAATGGAGATATGAACAAAAGAGAAGCCAGAAAGGGGATGAAAAAATTATCTAAAGACTAACCAGCAAACATCCAGAGATTTTGTGTATAGTTTAATTGAACCCTCACAGAATTGAAATGAATAGCATCAATTTCTTTGCCTGAATCTGAGTGTGACTTTCCATTCTGAAACAAAATGCTGATGCATTCTTGAGTGACACTGAATTGTATGCCAGGCCCTGAAGAGGATAATATGTACACTTTGAAGGTCTGCACACAGATGAAAAAGTAGTAATGACCTTGAATTCTATGCCCCCGACTTGCCATGGATGACAACCTCGTGTATACTTCATTGAACAAGGTTTCATTTCTGACTTTTTGGCTCAAGCACAATATTGATGCTCCTAGGAGAGTCACTGAACCCTCCATGTCCAGTTCTAGGTCACGTCACTGTTACTAAATAGGCTGTGTGATCCTGGTCATCTCTTTTAATTCAGGCCATGAGTTTCCTCTCTTTAAATAAGTAGATTGGTGCCCTCAAAAAATGTTTCTAAGACTTCTTATAGGTCTGTCTTTGAGTTAATTCTCATGAGTTAAGTAAAATCTAAGACTGCAGATGAAAAGCCCAGACTCCACTGCTGACATGCCATTGACCTAGGCAGTAAATGCCTGAGACTGTGTATACTTAACAGAAAACTGAGATACATTTTTCCAAGTTAGGTAGACCAGAACCCTTGAGTCTCTGCTTCCTTCCAGTTCTGTATACTGAGAGACTTTCAGCCCCTCTTCCCAGGACCTGTTGTTCTCCCTAAAGATTAATTATGTGGAGTAGTAAACTTGAGGTCTACAGGAAATAAATTGCCTATAAACAATGATTTGGGCTCTGTATAAGATGGACCAATTTGTTGAATCTCCTCACAGACACAAACCCAAATTGAGGTCATAAGTAAGGCTCCATTTAGATATGTACTTGCTTAAAGATTCAAGCTGGTAACTCTATCTAATAAATCTAAGCTATCTTGATCAATAGGTATTGACTGTCTTAAGGAGAAACTTTAAAATATAGACTATTTGCTTCAGAGTTTATGATCTAATGAGAAATTCTACTTATAATCTACTTATAATTACAATCCTTTCCTATGATTAATGGACTTGTCATCCATGAATCACATGGGAATTTTCTCCTCAGTCTTTTGTTTTCCTAGAAGGTAACTTTGGGTTTGAGTTCTGCATGGTATCAGTTTCCAATGGTGGGAAAGGGTAGAAAATGAGATGTTCCAAAGTGTGAGATGTATCAGAACCCCATGAAATGGAGAGTATTCATTAATTCAAGTCTAACTGAAAATGGTAAATCTACATGCAGTTATGAGTCAATTGCTAAGAGGCATACATAACTCAAGAGCTAACAACTGTTCTGTTCACACTGATTCCATTCATTTCAAATTAGAAAGCCTTGAGACGCTCAGAGCAGAAAGACATCCATCTGTATGGTCTAGTCAATGAGTAAAAGAGCTCACAGATCATTTTGGTATATTCATTAATATTTACCTACTGGCCATTTAAACAGAGAAGAAAAAAATTCTAAAAGCCTTTGTGAGTGAAGCAGTACTATCAAACACAAACTTTAAAAGTTATGGTCAAATTATGCCCCCCCGGATAAACTTCAAAATACAGGCTTAGTTTGTCTGTACACATTTTGCAAATTGGGGAGACAGTCTTTTTACCACATTATCTAAAATGAAAAAAAAAAAACTATATGGGAAAAATACTTCTGAAAGTAGTTCCTGAGAAAAATATTTTGAATTTTTAAAGCTACCTCCCTTCCACATCCTAATGACTTTCCTTCAAAGCTGCTTATAGTTAGAAATGAAAAATACCACATTTATATTTGGACTGGTATTGATGGAATATTTGATATATTTCTCATGTGACACTCCTAACTCTAAGTATCTGTTATTTTACTCTATATTGCTTTTTGTGGTTCAAAACTGGTATATGCCATATTGAACTATATAATCCTCGTGTTGTAAATTTATCATGTAATACAAATGAAAATCATTATTTAATGACTTATGATCTAATCATATCTAATTTCAATACAGTTATGTCTATGTCTGTAAAGCAAAATTAAAAATATGTAATCATATATGTAATCATGTATTTCTGTTGAAACTGTGAATGTACTGATTTTTTCCTTAATCTTTGTCTACAAGATATTGTATGTCATTGTATAGCTGATCTGGGGTTTTAATGTGTGTAAAGTACAATCCACCAATTATTGAAATGTCAACCCTTTGGCTTTGCTTCATGTGATCCCCAAAAGTTCTTCGCACCTTGAGACTTGCTTCTATGCTCTATCATTAATTTTAAACAATGTAAGAGTCTCTTGTATAAACCAAAGCAATCCAGACGCAGTCCATTGAGTGATCATGTCCTGTGTAAAGCCATATTGAAGCAAAGACTCCGCTACAGCATAAGGTTCCCTGTTTCCAAAGCTGCCACTACCTCTCTCCTGCTCTTTCCCTATAAAATGCCAAGCAAAATTCAACCTTCAAGTGGGAAATTAGAAGTGATTGCTAATGTTGTCATTTTTAACCTCATAACAAACCTTCTAACTCACTACTTTGCAGATTGTTGCTAGATTTTATAGATAACCATTTCTACATTTTGATATTTTGTAGACATTGGCTGATGAGTAAAGTGCAGAAAGACTATACTGTAAGTCATCAGATTTTTTTAAAAAAAAATCATAGATTTCAGGTATTTTCCCCATCAGTGAGTCACCTCAAGGTGGTTGGCCAAAGCCATTATAACTTATGTCATTATGTTTGAAATACCCAACTCAGTGCCTGGCTCATACGGTTATTTCCCTTGCCTCCCCTAGTTCTCCTTTGTTGTTGTTGTTGTTGTTTGAAATGCAAATGAACAGAATTACATGGATGCTGATAAAGTGATTTTCTTGAAGAATTTTTGCTGCTAGAAGATCTGTAATCATGAATTTATAATTTAATTTCCCCAAACTCCTAAGAAATAAATACCCTCTTGATTTTATTTTAACCATCAAATATATTATGGCATGGGAAGAGTCAGTCATTTATCAGAAATAATCTTGTTTTGATTTTAGAGACTCATTTCTATGTATCCCTATTGTGATGTCTACTTTTTTTTCTTTTAGTATTAAAGGATTATACAATGCTAAGTTCATATGATTTGTCCCCTTACATATTTCACTCTGTGAATCTTGGGTTATTGCACATTAAGCTTCCTGATTTTCACGGACTGATCCATTTGTCTCCATCCACTTTGTTGGGAGAATGTGGACAGTTAAATCTCTGTCAATAATATAAAAATCATGCCAATTTCTCACATCCACTTTTACTGCATGCCGAAAATAATGCTTGCCAAACAGAATCTTAGAGATCCCAGAATAATATGGTCATTATATTTCTATTTGTGTCATTATTGGAAATACCCAGCCCAGTGCCTGGCTCAATAAATATTTGTTTCCCTTGCTTGTCCTTCTGCTATTTTTTTTAATTTGGAAAAAATTGGGGGGGGGGAATGAGCAGAATATCATGCATATGGCTAAAGCAATTTTGTTGAAGACTTTTGAACCACTTAATGATCTATAATCAAGAAATTGTTCATAAAATTGAACAAAAACAGATTTTCCCATTCATGTTTACCCATCCCAATAACAAGGCAAAAATCCCTCCCCTTTGTCTCCTGTGTCTCATTTGAGAAGTTGATAGAAATAAAGTAAGATAAAATTGGGTTTATGGGGATCAAATCAGGGGAACTCATTTAAATGCTGTAAAATAAAGGAAAGACCAGCCCATCAATGGCATATGGAATTCCTTTGAACAATGTGATTCATCACTATTATTAACATTTTCATCTGACAAATCCATTAGACTGAGCATGAATGGATAATCTTTACCTTATCTTTACCTTTCAAGGAATTCTGATGTAGAACCATCCCACTGCTCGTGCTGATATACAGAATTGTGCAAGGTGTGCTTAGGATGGGTTAAGACATCTTTTCTGCCCCTGTTAATCCTCTAGTACTGTGCCTTATTAGAGAATGGACATTCTCTTTCTCCTGGTGACTGTCAGTCTCTAAAGCTTGGCTTTGGGCAAAGCAGCACTGACTTGTCTCTGTTTCTATTGGAACCATCTGCCTTTCATTCTAAGGCTCGTGTGTATTCTTAATTTTGCAACCTTTGGAGCATCTGTCACCAAAAATAAGTACCATACAATAAATAGTGACCTGAGGACATAAAATAGGTAACATGTTTTCTGAATGTATTGTGTGTGCTTTTCTGAGAGAAATCAGGAACTCACATTGCCACAACTTGCCAGAATCAGGTCTAAAATCTCAACCCATTTAGTCCTCCTCCAACTGTGTAATCTAAATCCCTATCCTGCTATTTAGAGGCTGGAAGATGTAACTTCCATCTTGGTGTGTAGAAGACAGGAAATAAGGTCATTAAACAACTCCCCCCACCAGGACATTACAGAATACGGGAAGAAAATCTCCTACTGGATTTGACAGCCCCTCTCAAATGTGTGGGAGAAATCCAACCAATTTCTGCTACTGTGAAATTCAGAATTCTTAACATCTAAAATTATGATTCTTTTATGGTAAGCTCCTCCCACACCATACTATACAAATCCAGCCATCCTTGGGAACATTAAACTTTCTTCTTTCTTTATGACCAGGTAGATTCATACTAAAGTGTATTCTTTACAAACTGACTTAAAGCTCGTATCGTTTTATGAGTTTTATAAGATACCTTTAAGTATAGAAGAT